TCTAAGAGTACAAAAAGAAACTTACCGTGATGGGCTTTAGTGGATGGTAATCACCAAAATCCAAGAGTACAGATTCCAGCTTGTACACGTCAGATTCGGAAACATAGTTTCTTGATCTTGCATGCCTTAAAAAGCAAAAGTAAAGGGGAAGTTTATACGCATATAAATAGCCAGGTATTTGTCAATGAAGAAACACATGTTCTATTTCCATATGGATGTAGGTCTATTTACAGAAAGAAACACATGTTGGAAAGTAGACTAAAGGTATAGACTAAAATTTCTCTAATTTGAGAGATATGGAAAATAATATTGTGAAAAAATTCTGGCAGACATGGAATTGTATTCTAATCTGCAGCTGAATTGAACACCAACAGGGCAATTCACCCGAGCATATCAATGTGTTAAAGCACATCTTCTAAACTGAATAGAGAAGAAAAAGATAGGGTGAAAACACAAGGGAAGAAATCAAAGTTATCATGCATGTGTAAAATAAGATCGCAGATTAATTTGTGTAGCTACAAAGCTTTCCTGAGGAATCTATCTTCAGCTGTTCACTGTATTCATAATTAAAGTTGCAGAAGGCAAGTGACAAGAGAAAAAAAAACTATCAGTATTCATAACTTGCATAGGAGATAAGTCCTTGTATAAAAGCCTTGCCTTCCCTATGCAAATTAAGTATATCATTAAATGAAATCAAACTATCTAATCGTAATTTTTCTAGAAAGCCTTTCTGGCACGGCAGATACTGCAGCTCTGCAAGGAAGCTGGAGCAGAAAGTCCTCGTCACGCTGCTCCATGGAGAAGGGAGCGGTGACAGCCAAGGAGATACAGCGGAGCAAGAGAAAGAGCCCCGAGATCCGCAAGCCTCCTCCTTTTGTTTCCTTAACCTCCAGTTCCTTTTCTTTATACACGAATATTCCCTTTAATTTACTATTGTTCCATGCTTCAGTGATGCTCCTTGTTCCCTTGCCTCATGGGTTAATTAACATTTGGATGCAAAAAAAAAAAAAAAAAAAAAAGCCTTTCAAATAAACTGTCTGGCTTCCTAATTATAATATATCTATTACCTTGATTACCTTGTTAAGAATTGCATTAGAGCACGATGAAGAGAAGTTATTACAAAAAGGAATTCCAGTCTTGAGTTTTAAATGATATATAAATCTGATCATTTTAGAATGGATTGTGATTTTTTTTCCACTCTAACAAAAGTTAGAATCAACCATTTTCTTAAATTTCATGTTTAATGTCAATGCAAGCTCCTTTTATTCAGCGTAAGTAAGACTTAGAGGCCAAGAAAAATAATCTGTAAAACAGAGTTTTAAAATAACCAACAAAGCTTAAAAAACAGCTAATGATCTCCCCCAAGACCCTAGTGTGAGAAGAAACCGCTTTCAAACACGTCACTCCCATCCACTGCACCTGCCCCCTAGCCCAGGTGCCCAAGCACCCAGCAGGGAACCACCCCCAGAGCTAGGCCTGTCTCACACCTGCAAAGCTTCATTACACAAATCCGGGTTCCACAGTATCTAGGACCCCCAGAGAATTTATTTGAAAAAGCACAGCTTTGATGTTGTTATAAGGCACACATTCTGTCAGCAATGAACCTTTTAAAGACACCAATTACTTCTGCTGTTCATTAAATGCCCTGCTGACACATTAAATAACCTGAGGGAATCCATCATAACTAAATACACACAGGGAAATCTTTTTAGCAATCCAGCTCCAAACATGACATATTCTTTTTCCAGCTCCTCACTGGATCGCAGACCACACTGGCAGATAGCAGCACATCAACACCCCAACAATTAGACGGATTTAATGTGCAAACACGACTAGGCTCAGGACAGCAAGTCTTGCTAAAATAGAGTATTGCTCATTTGGAAATGAGTGTGATGCTCAGACAACGTCACGAACACGTTTCCTCGATTCCATCCAAGAGAAAGCCCCGCTCGTCCCTCCTGCCACCAGGGATCCCAGACCCCGCTCGGCTTCCCCTCAGCAGGGACGGCAGGAACACAGCCCAAGCACACGCCGCGCCTTCCCCTTACTCTAACGAGCTCGTGGGCGAGGACCAACAAGCGCTAAACACCTTTAAATTCAATAAATACGGAAAAGTCCGTCTCTGCTCGTGCGTCACGAGAGGCCCAGGCGCCAAGGGGTCACGGGGCCTCGTCGTGGCGCAGCAGCA